TGTAATATCGAAAGTTTTACTTCAGATTTTCAACAGCGAGTGGATGCAAGTAAATCAGAAGCAATTGAAGAGTTGAGAAATCTAAAAGAGATTGAGAAAGAAATCGCTTTAGCTGAGAATACAACTCGAGAAGCTGAAAATGCTATTGGCAATGCAAAAAATGATGCACAAATGGCTGAAACGATTGCCTTGCAAGCGGAAAAGGAAGCTAAAAGTATCAGCAAGGTATTTATATATTTTTTTTTAATTCATTTCTTTAATATCATAATTGTATATCTGTAATGTTGGAAAACATTTCGAACTCTATCGTAGTTTGCTCTCCCAAAATATAGACCTAAGATTTAACGGCATTTTTCTTGGGCTACAGTGTTTAAGATATTCCTTATTGTGGACATGAATATCTTAAATTTTTGTTATTTCCATCAGTTGTTCAAGAGTTTTATCTTTTTAGGAGGCATATGAATTGCGGAATCAAACGCAAGGTGTTCGCAAAACTGCAAAAGAATTAAAGTCAAATGCCGATCAGTTGGTTAATGATGTCAAAGAAACAGGTACAACAATGGAAGATTACAGACGACAGGCTAGTAGCGATAAAGCCCGTGCCTCTGAGGTATGACTTTTTCCATAATCATATATCACTATTAAAAAGTGTGCAATTTTATTTTCAAATTTTACTGATAAAATTATTCAAGGCAGTTCAAAAAGCACAAATTGCCGAAAAAGCTGCTGAAAATGCGAACAAAACGATCAGCGAAGCGGAGAATAGTCTAAGAAATATTAATAACCAATTCAGTAAGTTCGATTTTAATAACGATTCATAGTAATTGTTAACCAACTCAGTAAGTTCAATTTCATTGATGATTAGTAGTTGTCGAAAGCTTCTTATCCATTTTTTATACATTAACAATTCACTAACAGAAATATAAAAGTCGTTAAGTAAAAGCTTCGTTCATACAGCTTCGTAAACTAAGCAGGAGTTAAAAACTTTAAGCAAGATGGAAAATCATCTCTTTTTAGATTCACTAGATGGTGTGAGTAGTGAAGAATTGGATGAACTGGAAAAACAACTGGATCAAGTGGAAGAGTTATTAAACAGTGCTGACTTAGATAAGCAGGTTGGATAAATTTTTTTTCTTATAATTCTGTTTATTAAAATTGATGTTGGGAAATTCTTAATTTTCAGTAATGTTCTATAATTTTGCTAATAGCTTGCTTGTCTAATAGTTTGCTGATAAAATTTGAGTCCGCTTGAGAAATTCATACCTCTTTCTTTCCAGTTATCTATTTTAAATTATCGAAACAGCATTGCAGAGTGGCAGGTTTCTTTGTTCTTCATTCAAATCAACTAATGATTTTTTGCAGGTATCATTGCTCAAAGAACAAAAAATTGAGCAAGATCGCACGATAACACAATTTAAAAATGAAATCGATACTTTAGAAGATGAAGTGCAAAATCTTGAAGAAATACGTGATTCATTGCCGAAGAAATGCTTCAATGTAATCAATTTGGAACAAGAGGGACAGAAATAAAAATGAAACTGGATGAAAAAAAGAGGTCAAAATCCCGAAACATTTGTTTCTCATTCGTTTAGGAAGTCGGATATTAGAGGATAGCGTTTTAATCACATCGATCTCATTTGTTAGTCCCACACTCCACTCTTTCCGGAAAATTACTAAATTTACAAAATTTTGCGAAAAATAAAGTCGGTGTATTAAACGATGAAGTGTAAGATGGAACGACAAGTTCATGCATTTAAATCACTTTTCCGGTGGAGAAACGCATTATTTTCTCTTTATCGCAAAAAACAAAATTTTCGTTTTACCTTTTTTTATTTTACCATGATTTTATAATAGATTGAAATTATAAGGAAAAATTAGAAGAGGGGATGGATTTGAAAAAAGAAATGATAACTGAGATTATCCGGTACTAGCATTACATTACATTATTCTGAACATTATGAGGCATTAGCTCAATTCCGATCACCATCTATTCTTTTTATTCTTTCTCTTTACTACTCAAAGTTGTCAAAGAAATTTCTCTCATTAATTTCATTTGCTTTTTTTTTCTCGAAATCAAAAAAAATTAACTTAAAATTTCTAGCTTTGCATAATTAATTATATTTTCAATTTCTCATTTGTTACTCTGTTATTTTTGTTGTTTTCTTCCTTTTTTACTCGTAGGTTTCCAATTTTCTAATTGTTTTAAAAAGGATTAAATTTTAATTAGTGTAAAGAAAGTTATATTAGAAATGGAAATTTCCTAACTTATGATGAAAACTTTTTTCAAATTTCAAAAAACACTGCCATAATTTTCTTTTTTCAAACTTTTTTGCGTTCAAAATATATTTATATTTATTATTCTGTGCAGAAATATGACTCTCTTGTAAAATTCGATTCTATTTTAAATTTCTTTGTTTACTGATGATGAAAGAATACGATTTTAATCTTAATCTTTCTCTATCATTGCTTGGTTTGTATGAAAATTTTCCAATGTATCAGAGAAGCAAAAGAAATTATGATGCCAGAGTGTCAGAGTGAATTTTGAAATTTTGAATTCCTAAATGAAGTTCTATTTTGATTTAAATACTTGATAATATATCGGGCAATCTATTAATGCTCTTTTCTTTCTTTTCCTCATCAGTAGTACCTTATTGTGTTAATTAATTTATCAACCATTTTCTTTCGAATCCAGCTCTATCAACTGCCCTATGTGTATAAAATGAAATTCCTCTCATGTCTTATTTCATTATTTTTTTTTTTCTTGTTTTAATCCCATTATCTTCTCTTCCTCAATTTTTCTTAATTTATCATTAGACAGTAAATTGTTTATCATTTTTCTTTTGCGCTATTATCATTTATCGTATTTGTTGTGTAATGTGCCTTTTCTTTTATCCATTTGCAAACGCTTTCTTTTATCTTAATAAAAATTTTAATCATTTATTTAATTATAATCATTTCATTAAAAATTATTTTCAAGCATAAAAAAACAATGCAAGTTTTTCTTTCTTAATTTTAAGGCTTTTTTCTTCTTATTATAACTTTCCTTCGCAATTAACTTCATTAAGAAATCATTTGAGAAAATTAGCATTGCTAAATCCCCTTATATTTCATATTCAACTGAAATGGATATTTTGTTCATTACACAAGACTTGTGTCATCTATATCAAAGCATCAATCGCATTTCATCTCTTATCTATCAAGGAGGATTTTTTTTTTCGCTAATTACTGTCATCTAGAATTGCACTGGGCAGTTTTCGACATCAGTGTCATCATACGCCGAACTACTTTGGTCGGCTCCATGAATCACTGCTGGAATTGTCGAAACTGTCCGGTTTTCCCGACCATTTTCAAACCTTACCTGATGCTTCAACTCTTGTTCACATGCTTCACTCTTTCTCCTCCGTTGTTCCTCGGCAATATTATTGTTAAGTAATCCTACTTCTTTGTTTAAAAAGATAGGTGAAGTTTGTGACAAAAGTGCCCATTACTTTGCCTATCTTTCTATGCTTTTTCTTACACTTTGTTGTGGGACAAAAACCGAAATTGTAAAACATTTCGTGCTTCAAGTTCTTTGTTTTTTTGTTTCAATTAGACTGCTTTATTTCATTTCATTATACATTATTAAAATGCATTTCTTTTTCCTTTGAGTAACAAACATTCATTTAGTGATGTTGGCAATTCGACCTGTGTTTTATGGATAAATTATTTCTTACAGCAAATATTACTGATTTCTTACAGCAAATATTAACGTTAAATTCAGATAATAAATTATCGATCACTTCATCAAACACTTATTTAAATAGTTCCAGAAACTGTTTCGTATGAACATACAATTCGTTTTTTAGGAAAATGTTCGCAAGAAAATTTTTGAAGAAACTCCGACTTTATGAATTTTGAACAGAACAATAACATAAATGACCCTGATGTAAAATAAGAAAGAGTAAGGTATTTCTCTCCGTTTTAAGAAGTGGATTTATGAGGCAAAATTTATTTATTCAATTAGATTTCATTCGATTTATTTCGTAAAATCTGTACTATTTTATCTAATGGTACACTGCCATTTATACCAGTTTGCTTCCCTCATACTCGGTGCTTCCATCAAAATAATGGTTATGCGTTTCATAAAATACATGACGCAGAATAAAATCTCAAAGGAAGCTTAGCAGGTGAAACCATTTTTCATGAAGGTAGTCGACAGAACCAATGTAAAACTTGTCCACTGACTGCTCGTATTTCCAAAAAAAATAGTAGTACGTCACTTTGCTCGAATAGCGCCCAAATATTAACTTTACTCTGAATCAAGAACACTGTCAATAAATTGGTCCAATTCGTCATCAGTTTTTACGCCTTCGAAACGTGCGACAACTTCACCAGATTTCATTGCAACAACAGTGGGTACAGCGTTCACATCATAATCCATTGCCACATCTGCTGCATAATCAACATTCACTTTTGCTAGCCTGACCTGAAACATGATTAATTCAGTTTTTAGTGGTAATGAATCTATCAAAATTTTAGATAATAAAGGCTACAATTATGTCTTTGACTGATCTTATGTAACAGAGAATCACTGTTTCCTGCTGTTTTGATAAGCATTTTTTTCATCGCATGACAAATAACTTTCACTGACTGAATTACACAATGTTCCTCCTTTGAATCAAATAATTGTCTATTATGTTCATGAATTTATTTCATGCAACACCACTTACATTCCCTTCTCGACCAACAACTTTGGCTTCGATTCGAGGTCCCAACATTTTACATGGCCCACACCAATCTGCATGAAAATCTACAAGTACTGGGACAGAAGAGTTTATGACCTGTAAAAAGTAGGTTAATACAAACGACTCCATTCCACTATCAAATACATTTCAAAAAACGTCCTGGCAATTTTATCAAATAACTAGATTCTACAAAGACCTGCGAGATTAACAATCATTACATTTTTCATTATAATATTGTTTCAGCTAGCTATCTGCCCTTCCGAAAATCCTTGAAGAATAAAATGTCTGAAGAATTCTCAAAGATTATTTGCGCCCGATTTCCCTGTGAAATCTGTGGACCAGTATAATGAAACACGTTAAAAGCCAAAAGTTAATGTAGAAAACAATACCTTCTCTGTAAAATCTTCCACGTCTTCAATATCGAAGATAATCTCTAACGATTCGTCGTTACAATATCTTCGAGAGAGCATGGAATTCTTCGGCTAGAAATTGTAATTTTGAAGTACGAAGATCAAATTTAGGAAGAGAAAAATTAATGGAGCTCTAAATATCATCCGCTGACAACGATTTTATTATCTATTTCTTATCATCATCAAGACATTAGATACACAATTTTTCATATTTTTAAATCTCAGGGTCAGCCGTGTATTTGAACTAGCACAGACAGTGAAGAAGTAAATCTTTCTTGTACGAATTCAACCATATTCTCCAAGGCTGGTTTAGACTTTCTTACCAACTAACATACAATATCGAGGTTTAAGCGCAACAAAGGAACCCGTGACATGAAAAGTCAATATAGCAAAAGAATTTGGAAGTGGATGAAACAAAAAGAAAATTCAAAAGAATTTCCGGAACAATTTGGACGTGGGATGCAAAGAATGAAGTAAGGAAATTATAGGGTGAAACAAAGGAATTTTATGATAGTCTTCTATATGGGCAACATAAAAACTCACCCTAAGACCATTATTCATTCGCAATATTTGCAACGGTACTTTGATTAGGCGTATCGAGAATGAAGAACTGCACCTTGATGGAGCTGCATACCGACTGAGAAACAATTTACATATAGGATACAATTGTAAATATGTCCTTGAACCCGTGAACATTTTATGTGACCTGCAAATAAACAAATCAAAGCAGTAATCCCGCAAAACGTTCCATATAAGGCGCGAATTAGTTATGCAATAGAGGTAGTACTGTTTTGATCACATTATTCACGTGCTTTAAGCTCAGTCTGAAGTTTGTAAGTTTCGCATATACCGCCATGATCAAGACAATTCCCGCACCGCCAAACCAGCAACACATGAAGCCGAAACAGATAAAATATCAGTGCAAACACCGACCAACCGTGAGATGTCGCTGTAGAATCGTGCAGGCCGTTTGAAAGAACTTTTGAGCATGTAGATTTAGGATGGCCTTTGACATGGTGATCAGGTCCATATTAGCAATTTTGGGAATCCTTTTCTATTTAATTTCAAATACATCGTTTTGCACAGAGTTAAAACACTTCACTGTCCTATTGGTATCGTTTTTTTATTAGTGTGGAAAATAAGCCACTCTTAACGACTGAAGTTGATCAACCACTCATTTTGACCAAAAGTTGCTAAAATTGATTAGTCATTCTATCGCAGCTTGCGTTGTTTTGTTATATTTTATTCACAAGAGTCAGAGAATTTTATTAATTCTTTAATTCGACAATAAAAACTATAAAGAATATTTATAATCACATATGATAGCAAAATTCGAGTCGCTACTGCACGCTCATTCATGCTTTTTATCATTTCTCTTCAGATTCCTTTCACCTTCATTAGATGTTGTGCTGTTATCACTTAACATATTCGTTTCTTGCATGTCACTGTTTTCAATATTAAGTTGGTGATCATTTTGCTTCGTTATTTTAAAGATAGCTTCTTCCGTTTCCAGTTGATGATGCTTCCATCTGCAATGCATTCAGAAGATTAATCAAACTGATGAAAAGTTAAATGCTGTTTCATCTTCTTCGCTCAATAGGCAAAAAATATCAGAGTTTTCCTAAAATCAGAAAAAATGAGAATCAAAAGAATGCTATCCATTGTACTCTTTAGTAGTATTGATTTGTTACACATCGACTGTGTCATTAAAAACAAAAAGACTGTACGATATGAACGGTTTGTACCATTTTTTCCATCAATTAGTTGTTGAATTTCTGGGAAAAACATTTGCATCATATTTGTGTGCTTTTTGGATTTTCTTGAATCTCCGTATTAATCTAATACGGAAATTGACTATACTACGAAAGACATCATATTTTCTATCTTCTGATGAACGTATTTTTCAAATTAGCTTGTTGTTGGGCAATACATTTATCAATAAATACTTTATTGAACTTTCTTGATGCATTTGTTTTCAATAAGCTCCAACAAACTTACTGTCAACGTAATCCACTCCTTCAAAGTATTTGTCCAACTTACTTTCCAAATCGTCCAAATGCGTGTCGAAATTCTTCAATATTCGGATTTTGCTGGTTCAATAAATTACAGAAATATTTGAAGACTTTTTCCATGTTGAATATGTAGCTGCAGCAATGCATTTGCATAAGAATCCTAATTTTAGGTTTTAAATAATGCAAAATGTGGGAAGACCCTTTATGGGAAAAATGCTAATTTGTTAATTATGACATTTGGCATTTACCAACTTTTTCAAATAGCAAATAAAGTTCAGGAAACTTGCATTAATCCACTGATATTCTGCACGAAGTTTGTAACTTTGTACTGCGCTGTTTCTTATAATCGTTATATTTTAAAGTCAATTTTAGTTGAGTATTCATTAACTTTCTAATTTGAAAGCATGTACCATCGAGGATCACGATCGAATGCTCGGCATGTGATGTATGCAACTGTGCGTAAACCACATGACCACATATCATCTTGTTTTTCAATTGCAATTTCATATCGTACTTTCACCTCATCGGTCGATGATAGGTGTTTGAACATGTTGAAAATCTGTTCCGCTAATCCACGATTTAACTAAAATTCGGTAAAATTTCAAGACTGAATTCACTGAGGTGTTATACAACTACTACGAACTTCTTTAAAAGTTTAAGATTTGGAAACTTGAAATCGGTACCTACCGCATCCCTAGCTTTTTTCCTAGAAGTGGCAAGGGAGTCGAATACGACCACGATATCATCAACAAGTGTCCGTTCAACCAGTACATAGTGTTCACGCTTTTGATCCAAAAGAATCTGAAGGACTGGTTTACGGCCAGTTATGAGCCTATCCAAATTCTGTGGATCAAGCTGAAAGGCATTTTGCTTTTTATTTTGCGTGAAAACTTCAAAAATTGGAAACGCACTACTAGAAATATCGGCCAAATCAAACTGCTTAATTGTTATGGCGGAGTTCTGTACAAAGGAGGTTCAATAGTGATGACCTTCACAGCAAATTTAGAAAAATAAAATTCGGGCATCGAATAATGGACATTGCAACAGATTCTACTAATAATATAATGAATGATTAAAAGAATAATGATCAGCTCTTACTGCAATATACTGAATAGCAAGCATGCCATCAAACCGGTTTCGCAGTGCTGTGTTCAGCTTATCACAATATTCGTTGATTAAATCATCCGCAATTCGTTCCCCGTAGTTTATCTAATCAACAACAAATTTCAATTTAATTCAATTTAGTTTAATTCAGCAGGAAAATGAATCCACAATTTTTTTCTTTTTTGCAATATCATATTTAAGCAAAATACTTCTTCACTGTGTACTCGTCTTTTTGTCCTACTTGTCCAACTCTTTTCGGTTCCACCGGTTATCCGGATTTCATCCCTTTGCTCCTCGATCTCTTCATGCTCTTCCTGAGAATCTTCTTGAGTGAGCGTTATTGGGCTAACATTGATTGAGCTATCATTGTTCGTTGATGAAACACATGTAAAAATTGATGATAAGCTTTGACATGTTCCAACATTCGATGCTGATCTGAAAAGTTTTCAGAATTTGGAGCATCTCTTTTAAAGATCAGAAACTAAGTTTCTTTTGGAGGAAGGAAAACAATACTAATGAAACTAAGTAGGTAAGGAATGAAGCCAGCTATCTTAAACATACAGATAACTACATACTTCTCAGCCCATATATTACCATTCAAGCCTAGAGAGAGAAGAGAGATCAAAAAAGATAAATGAAAATGATGGCTTTTTTTAATTCGAGTACAGATATCCCAGTGAAACAATTAATTTATATACACTAATTATTTCAGTAGGACGTCTGTAGTTGAAAATTTCGAACATCAAAGAAGATATTTGTGCAAAAATCTATAAAGTAAGGATATAAAAATGGTAATTTATAAAGATCAATGGGGTAAGAACAGAACACAACAATAAAATGTCGACAAACTAAACTGATAGGATTTAATCCTAGTATTATAAACTTATGTTGAAAGGAATGAAAAATGTCCGATATTGAGCGACAGAGCAGTTCTGCGACTGATCAGTTATAATAGTGATAGATAAAAATGCTTGTTTTCCCAATTCCCTCAGAAAAAGATACTCACGATGACATCTCCACATTCCCCTCATCGTTCGATATTTCATCCTCCACTGTCATCAACCCTATATATCAGCGTACAACTTTTCCAAACAACCAATACTCTACCATACAATAACAAACAATAATGTTACAATTTTATAACACTCCTAATTATAACCGATATTTTATTTCGATATCATGCTACAATTCAAAGATCATAAATTAAAACGCCTTTTTGGGTACTGTAGCGCTTTTTTGTGCTTTATGCCGGCTTTTTTGTAATCGCTTGACGTGTGCCGTATTCTGTTTCGTATTCTGATTGGGTTTTGTATAGGAATGGGGATTGTCGTGTGATTTATCGTGAACTATTCAGATAGTACATGGAATTTGAATGAAACTTAATTTCATGGATGATAGGATGTGAAGTAACACTTCAAGATTTTGACGTATCGAAGGATGAAGGCCTGTTAGCAGAGTGTCATTCGTTATGTCGTGAAGTATTCTGCCAGGAGTATGGTTTAGAGGAACTACTAAGAATTGATGGCGAAGATAAGAATAGTAGGTATATTGTGGCTCGATGGTTTGATGACGGCTCCGTGATCGCCACTTGCCGTCTACGTCCTGCGCATCTATATGTTAAATTGGAGCAAGTTGCTGTACACAGAGTATGCTGTATTTTCATTACTCTTTTCAGTTATGAGTTCGTTACACCTATAAAGATGATTAAATATATGTTATCTGTGCAGTAATTATCCATATCCTCCAACCAGTACTCTCTAATTCGATTTAGATAAAATTTGCAATTAATTCAAAAAAAAAATAATATGTCCTATTTTTGCTCTTATATGGTATTCTTTACTATGTCTCATTTGTTTCTTTTATTTGCTTTAATGCAAGGAGGAAAATTTTCTTTTTTTATGACTGGCGAGGACGAACTATTGGGCATCGCATATGTCGACGTGCTATCGAGTTAGCAGAATGTTTTTATGGTACGCAAGTTCTAATAACATATTCTCATCTTAACGTTATAAAATTTTACGAACAACTTGGGTTTATGATAACCTCAGACGAATTTATGGATGCTCATATCTTCCATAAGGTATTACTCCTGTGCTATTTTTGATAAATGCGACTTACCATATAGCTAACATTAATGCGCGCTTTTTCATTACGTTTAGCACATTATGGAAGGCAGTCTCCTAATAGTGAAAATGAAACCTCGGTGTGGATGAGATTGAATCATTTGTATTAAATTTATAGCTTTGATTCATGACTACTTTGAATCCAGTTGATGATAAGGATTACTATGCTTTTCTCCGTTTCCTTCACGGTAATGTTAGTTTAAGCTTCTTTCTTGCAGATGATGTTTTATTTTCCGCGCAGAGATAGGCTGCCTACATTGCTTTTGTGGGAATTTAACTGTGCTGAACATAAATATACACCAGATGAATGCTTTGACCCGACCAATATGGCGAGACTGAAAGGATCTCTTATGTCATTCAAGGTTGATTAATTGTTTTTATGGTCGAGACATATTTAGTTTTCAAAATTGCATTCTGTTTCTGCGTTCATAATTCTTTTTTCAAAGTTAATCTTTTGCTGGATCCGTACTAGTAATAAGTTTAGTTAGCATATCACATTCACTAATTTACATTTTCGTACAATTAGCGCGAACAAAAGTTTTGAATCTTGTGAGTTTTCAAATTTTATGAACGTTTTATTCTTGCATTTAGCAGTTATTCACATGGTGAAATACTCTTTTCATTTCATTGCTCAGGGTATAAAATGTTTTTTATGGTGAAATATATGCAAATAGGTTTAGGAGCAAAATATCCCCAGATTGATGCATCTGCAACATATACCAGATCAAGCTGTCGTTGGTTATTCGCTACTTCGAACTTACAGAGAATGCGCTCGAGCAACTCTAGCACATGATTTCACGCGCAGTAAACATCTGGAAACTTTTCTGACGTCAATAGTTTGGGAAAAATTGAATACTGGTCATTATGGAGAGGTTGATGAAGCTTGGAGGATTTTTTACGCAACCATTATGATGTGTAAAGCAGTGCGTTTAAAATTTGAGAAGCAAATACAGGTGAGTGTTTTTGTCGCCGCATTAACACTGCTAGTGCTAATCTGCCTTTAGTGGCGCCAAATGCTGATTTTGTTTAATAAAATGGAAGTGTTTGGACCACTAAACTTTTCAGTAGTGGAAGAGTATTAATTTAAATATTTTATTGTGTTTTTGCTGTATTTTTTGTTATGTGTTGCCAAATGAATGTATTTCTTAATATATGAAGCTCATATTTCTCAATAATGTATAGGAAGCTCTGCATGCTTGTGACATTGGTTTGATAATGGGTCGTGACATTGATGGTTTTGCGCTGTCAGCATTCGCCCATCATTTACATTCTTCTTTATCAGAGCCATCAACATCCGTTTCTTTAAAAGTAAGTCGTCATTTAATCGTTATAAGAATTAATATTATTCGTAAACTAGTAAATATGCTTATTTGATTTAGCAATTTTTTTTGGGAAGTTATATTTTTTGGAAAGTGTAATATTGATCAGAAATGGTTACAAAATCAAGTACTCATTGGAGGTCAGTTTTTTTAGAAAATATCGGGTAGTGTTATGCACACATTATCTCTCCTTTTTTACAGACACAAAAGCTTTTGCAACCTCCATCTCCTTTGTTGAATTCAACTTATGTTGATGTTTGTGAGCTCCCATCGTTTGAAGAAATGTTAAAGATTATAGAAAATCAAAAACCAGTGGTCATAAGAGGACTTGTTAATCAGTGGCCTGCATTTACAAAATGGAAGTAAGGTTCATGAGTTCTCTAGCATGCTTTTCTGTAGAAGTGCTTCGAAATTCAATATTTTTATTGTTTTGGATGTTAATGCTTTGATCTTCAAAAAAGGAAATTTATGATTATCTTTGCTGTAAGTTTTGCTCTTATGCTGTTCGTTAATTAACCACAGCTTTTTTTTAGCTTCTCGTATTTTAACGAAACTATTGGTCATCGTACAGTTCCTATTGAAATCGGTAGCAGTTATGCCGATAGCGATTGGAAACAAACTTTGATGACTTTTCATGATTTCATTGAGAAATTCATAGAATGTGAGGTGTGGTATATTTTTAGTTTACTTATAATATTTTCAAAGTTAATGAAACTCGTGATTTTGATCTTGACACATAGCAAAAGAGATGTGCATGCTATCGCTGTAAGACAGTAATTGAACATCTGCGATCGATTGGAATCATGTTAGCAACAGGGAAAGCTTCAAATTCATTGCAAATTTAACGCTTGCTGTTATGAACATTACAATCCCTAGATATTTGTAAAAATAAATTTAAATGAATCAATGAAATTTGCAGAATTCAGATAATCCAGGTTATTTGGCTCAACATCGGTTGTTTGATCAAATTCCGGAACTTTTGAGTGATATAATCATTCCTGACTACTGTGCATTTGGTGAAGAAGGAATTGACAATGTCGATTTGAATATTTGGATTGGACCAGCGGGGACTGTTTCACCTTTACATTTTGATCCAAAAAATAACATGTTCTGCCAGGTAGTTTTCAATCCAATTTATGATAAGTTTGTAATTTCTTAATGATAATTTTCATCTTTAGCTTGAATGCAGTTTTTTTTGGTTAAGTTTTATTGGAGAGTGAAAGAAAAATGAAAGGAATATAGCTTTGATGAGAGGAGTTAAGAATTTAAGTATTTCAGGTAGTTGGTCGAAAATTTTTACGACTAGTATCTGCAGCTGAAACTGAAAGCGTATACCCCCGAAAGGATGGGATTTTAACCAACACTAGTCAGGTTTGCCTTCGTATTTGTCATTTATCGTTAATGCCTTCGCATTTATCATTTATCATTTATCGCATCCATCATTTTAATAAAAATAAAATTTGTATTTACTTTGATTCATACTTAGCGTGAGCTTTTATAAGATCATTCGTTCTGTTTTATAGAGCGGCGGGTTTTTGTAATATTAATAATATTTTAAATAGGTTAGTTTTCGTGGATGAAAGTCTTCTTGCAATAAAGATTGTTGAATTTTTTGTTTTTTAGAACTTTCATATATATATATATATATATATAGCTTAGTACTGTGAAAAATGTTACAAGCCAAAAAAGCTCAAAAAAATTTCTTATTCTGTAATGTTTAACAAGTTCCAGCTCGATGTGCTATATCCGGATATGACAAAATTCCCACGTTTTTGCGAAGCTCATGTTTTTGACTGTATACTCTATGCTGGTGAATGTTTATTTATACCAGCTGGATTTTGGCATTATGTCCTTGCACTTGATCCCAGTATATCTGTATCCTGTTGGTTTAGTACCAAAGCTTAAACTTTTGTAATGAAAGTTTTTAATTATTTGTACATGGAATTGTAATTTTACGTTGTCCAAAAAGATCATATAAACAGTTATACCTTCGTAGGAATTCTTTGGAATTGAATTATGTTTTTTATGATAAAAAAAAGATTGAAATAAAGAAAGTGATTTTTATTTAAATTTCTTGGCTTCTTATCCTATAAAAGTGAAGCTATGGAATTCAGTTTTTTTATGATGTATTATATATTTCAGAATGAGCACTGTAATCAAATGTATTCAGTATTAAAGTTTAGTACTGTGAATTACATCATAAAGGTTCAAGAAGTATGGTGTACTTATATGAGTCTTATACTTCAAAAATAACACTCTCGAGCTCGTAAATACAAGGGAAAATTTCAATTTTATAAGGGTTTGCTCAAATTTCGAGAAGGAGTCGGTATCTCAACTAAATCATGTTCAGAAGATAGCGGACTAAATGTAGAAGGTATAGGTAGGTCCCTTTGATCGATTTATATTCAAAATAATAGCATTTCCGTGGGAATCCGGATCGCAGTTCTTCATAACGTTTTTTTTCATAAGTGGATAATCCCAGCTTAGGTATGACTACTAACAGGCGATTGAGAGAAAGATAGATTTTGTTAAGGTTAAAAGGAAATGAGAGATTATCTGAAGCTTATCGGCTGTTGATCCGTAAAAAAAATCAACTTGTGTGAAATATGTTCACTAGTTCAGTCGGTTTTCAAATAATGTACATGTATTCGGAGTAGTAAATTTTTGTTCAAATGAAAACAGTGGTAAGATTGCTTTTTAGCTAATGTCATTAAGGATTTAAGACATTTGACTGTTTGAATTCGTATACTTTGAAACAGCAATTCCTTGTTGGCATTGTCATCTGTGGCATGTAAATGTCTGTTTATGAAAATGTTATGAATTTCAATATTATGGCAGTTTTTATTGAACTCTCACTTCTATTACAACCTTTTATCTTAGATTATCGCACATCTGATAATTTGAAATTTGAAAGGCGACTTATCTGCAGGATGTTTTGCTTCTGATAAAAGTTGTTTATTTTTAGTGCATATATTTGAGCAGCTATTTTACATGAGCTTGTTGAAAGTGTGGATAATATTTGTGATATTTTTCTAAATAATCAATATAGATAAATTTCTTGGAAAAAGAAGAAAAATATGATAAAATGTTGAGATTTTTCTACTTCGTGAAGTTACATGCCATTTAACAATTGGTGAACATTTACAATAATCCTTGAGATTGTTTCTCCCCGCTGCGAACTGTGAGAATGATCGATGAACGAACCTGTTTGTCCAGGTATTTTTGTTGCTTATCATGATGCGTCAATTTTTTTAAATGCTGAGACGAAATATTCGAAATCCTCGTTTACTTTTTCTACTTCACATTTATCTTTCTCTCATCCTTCAACCTCTTTCTCATTTACTCTCTCTTTTTCCTTCTCACTGTAAGGAACTTATTTTGGAGGTATAAAGAAAAGTTATTTTTGCAATAAATGGATTATATAGATAGGAAAGCTCCGTCCTATGGAAATAAGAAGAGAATACTGCGACAGATTGAGAATTAAATTTCATTGAAAGCGCCTTATTTTGGTAATTCAGAATTTTGATTTAAAATATTTGAAATGAATTTAGGTCATTATATTTTACAGAGTCAAAATTCCTAACTCGACAATGATAATCTTTAGATATTTGTTTTACAAAGTCCCTTTTTTTTCCTTTTAAATTTTCATTTGTCTATCATATTTATCTAACAGATAGGAGAAGCTTCTCTTATCTCTTCACATAATTTAGTTATCCGGAAGGCAAACTACAGTATTTTTTCTTCTCAACTTAATTTTTATCAGTGATATGAAAAATTTAACCTACAACTACAACTGGTACTTGATAATTTGAAATCAAATCAGTATCTTTCAGGTTTGAAAAATGTCTTTCTATGCAAAATGACAGGTAAGATGGTCAATAAAAGTGATCATTATTTTACAATGTTGTGGAATCTGTACTATTGAATTAAATTTTGGCATTCAAAGTTT